GACATAATACAGCATATTGATAGCACATATACGAAGACAACAGTGATCACAATGGTAAAGTTGTTTGGTTTAGGTACATAAAGATTGGGAGATTGAGTAGCACTAGATACAGTACAATTTTAAAGCACGAGGTAGGAAACTATGAAGATGAAATTAGGTACTTTTTGGTTTTGGTTTTGAATGAGGCAAAAGTTGGACAGCTTTTCAATTCATTAGGTAATGAGTTCCATAGACTAGGTCCCTTTATTTGCATAGAGTGTTTACACAGATTAAGTTTGACTCTGGGGATATCAAAGACATATTTATTTCTGGTGTGGTGATAATGGGTCCTATTACATCTGTCCAGGGAGAGTTTCAAAGCATGGTTTGCACTTAAGAACAGGGTTTTATAAATGTAGTTGACACGTACAAGAGAATGTGTGGAATGAGTTTGTGTTTAGCATGTTAGGAGATTTAAACAAGGGAGCTGAGTGTTGTCTGAAAGAAGAGTTTGTTATTGTTCTGATAGCAGATTTTTGCTGGGTGATGATGGACTTGAGGTGGTTTGCAATGGTATACCCCCATGCACAGATACAATAATTAAGATGGGGATAGATCAGTGCATAATATAGTGAGAGGAGAGCAGAGTTAGGAACATAATAACTGATTTTGGAGAGTAATACCAACTGTTTTAGAGACTTTCTTAGTTATGTGTTGTATGTGGGTGCTGAAGTTGAGTCTCTTGTCTAGGAATAGGCCAAGAAACCTTCCTTCAATTTTTATTACTAATGTTAACATTGTCTATCTGAAGCTGAATTGCATTTGTTGATTTACTTTCAAATAAGATGTAGTAGGTCTTTTCTATGTTTAGTGTGAGTTTGTTGGTTGACATCCATAAGTGGACTTTTTGTAGTTCATTATTCACAACATTATTTAATGTGTGGGGGTTGGGGTCTGAATAGATGAGAGTAGTATCATCAGCAAACAATATAGGTTTAAGGATGTTAGAGACATTAGGCAGATCATTGATGTATATAAGAAATAGGAGAGGTCCTAGGATGCTGCCCTGTGGCACCCCAACCCGTTCTCGCAAATTCGTAAAGTCAATATTGACTTATTAACTACGTGCATAGGTGATATACTAAACATAATAGATACCCTTAAAAAGATTCACAGAAAACACCGACCTTACCTAACCTTGTTAGTATCTTAAGATAAGCATCTTATTGCTTCGTAATTACAATTATTACTTAACCTATACCTATTATAGGTTAGGTAATAATTGTAATTACGAAGCAATAAGATGCTTGTGTTAACATACTAAGTAGGTTAGGTAAGGTTGGTGTTTTCTATGAATCTTTTTAAGGGTATCTATTATGTTAAGTATGTCACCTATGCACATATTTAATAAGTCAATATTGACTTATTAAATTTGCGAGAACGGGTTGGGCACCCCTAGGGTTATTGGTACAGTGGGAGAGGTTATATCATTGATGGCTACACATTGGTGTTTATCACTAAGATAGGATCGGATATAGTCCAGGGCAAGGCCTCGGATTCCATAATGATGGAGTTTACGTAAGAGATTCAGATTCAGATTCAGATGTTTATTCAGGTAAGGTATATACATACAAGTGATGTTACATTAATGGATTGATATATAGATAGAGCTAGTACATACAATGCCTAAAGCCACTATTACGCAATGCGTTTCGGGCAAGAAAAACATTAATATCTAGAACTTAATACTAATTGAGCATAAAGAATAAAAAGTGTTGAGAACAAATACAAATAAAGATAAAAAAAGGGGGAACATGACTGAAAAAGCAGCACAAATACAATAGGTTGACAAACAGTGTTGATTAAAAAAAAAAAAAAATAACAGACATGGGTTGACAATAGAGGAGTGAGGTAGATTACAGGGAATTTATTAGGTAGTGTTTAGTTTTTATCTTAAACTGGTTGAGAGAGGTACAGTCTTTAACATGGTTGGGAAGGTCATTCCACATTCTGGGCCCCTTGATTTGCAGAGCATTTCTAGTTTGATTAAGACGTACTCTAGGAATATCAAAACTGTATTTATTTCTGGTGTGGTGCTCATGGGTTCTGTTACAACCTTCTATGAAGCTTTTAAGATCAGGATTGGCATTATAGTTTAGCGTTTTATATATGTATAATACACATGAGAGAATGTGCAGAGACTTAATATCTAACATATTCAGAGATTTGAGTAGGGGTACCGAGTGATGTCTGGGGCCAGAGTTGGATATTGTTCTAATAGCAGCTTTGTGTTGGGTAATTAGAGGACGTAAGTGATTTTGGGTAGTAGAACCCCAAGCACAAATACCATAGTTGAGATAAGGATAGATAAGGGAGTAATAGAGAGTCACCAGGGCAGGGCGTGGTACATAATATCTGATCTTAGAAAGAATGCCCACAGTTTTTGAAACTTTTTTTATATATTTAGAATGTGTCCCTGGAAATTCAGCTTGTGGTCAATGAGAATGCCAAGGAATTTGCCATCTAATTTGTTACAAATTTGGGTATTGTTTATTTTGAGATTTATATGACTAGAGGATTTATTGCCAAACAGAATATAGAAAGTTTTGTCAATGTTAAGGGTGAGTTTGTTGGCAGTTAGCCAAAGATGGACTTTATTTAGCTCAGTATTTACTGTGGCATTTAGAGCAAGAGGGTCAGGACTGGAGTAAATGAAGGTTGTGTCGTCAGCAGAGTTGTGATTAACAGTATGAAAGGCCTTTCTCAGGTCAATGAAGAGTCCAATCGGAAACTCATTTTTGTCAAGGGCTGAAAAGATTATATCAAGCAGACTAATAATTGCATCGTTGGTACTCTTTTTGGAAGCGGAAGCCAAACTGACAGGGGCTGAGTATGTCGAATTTTGCGAGGTAGGAGTAGAGCTGTTTGTAGATAATTTTTTCAAATATTTTTGATAGTATGGGTAGGTTTGATATTGGTCTATAATTGTTTATGTCCGCCGGATTGCCTCCTTTATGAACTTGGGGTACTCTTGCTTTTTTAAGAATATCAGGGAAGGTATGACACTCTAGGGATTTGTTGAACAGCAGAGCTATGGGTAGCGCAAGGGCATGGGAGGCGCTCTTGTATACAATGGTTGGAATTTCACTGATGTTCCCAGCTTTGGTTTTTAGTGAGTGTATGATGGACACATCATCTGTCGGGCTGATTGGTGAAAGGAGAAGAGAGTTTGGATAGCTGCCTGAGAGATATGTGTTGATATGTGTCTGAGTCTGTGGGATTTGTCTGGCAAGTTTAGCACCAACTGATGAAAAGAAGCTATTAAATTCATTTGCAATTTCTAAATCATTTGACGGTGTATAGCCATCCTTATAGAGTTTTATCTGGTTATATGAGCATTGTTTAGTTCCTAGAATATTAGATATAGTTTTATGTGTAGTGGAAGCGTGTTGAACAGTCTCGGGCCTCTGATGTTGATAGTTCTCTCTTGAACACTGTGAGGGGTCGGCCAGTTATGTCCCTTATGTGTAGTGGAAGCGTGTTGAACAGTCTCGGGCCTCTGATGTTGATAGTTCTCTCTCAGAGTACCTATTGCACCTCTGCTCTTCAACGGGGGTATTCTGCACATCCTGCCATGCCTTCTGGTCTCGTGACGTTATTTCTGTGTACAAGATTGGGATAAGCATAAGGCTTTTATGATTTCTGGACACTAGTTGTATGTTGTACAATGACCCCGGGGATTATAGGTAAGGCTCCTTCCTGCTGAAGACCATCTTACATGGATGTATGTGTTAGGGGAGTCGGGGGATTAGTTTACAGTAGGTAGTGAGGTTTTTAAGATCTCTGACTCCTGTCGTGTTCACACGTGGTGTGCTTGAAGGCCATGCAATTAGGCATATTTCTATCACACTGTCCCATACTATCTTGAGGTCAAATCCTAATATATTTACGAAGAATCATGTTATTAGGTTATTAAGCCTAATAACATTGAGTAGGTGTTATTAGGTTTAATCTAGTTGTGGGGTATTGTAATGTTTGTCGTTATTTTCGAAAATGACAAACCAAAAACTTAATCATAGGTGCACAATGAGATCACAAGAACGTGATGTATCTATGAGAAAATGTTGAAGCTACACGAAGGGATCGAACCCGCGTCCCTGACATCAACCGCAAAAATCATGAAAGCGTGAATCTTTTCTCTATTTCTGCGTCCCACACATTTATTTTGCCCCATTGACTTCGACTATGCGAAATGGAATAATCTTTAGTAATTTCTATCGTATAGTTGAAGTATCTGAACACATCCTTGGGTTCCTTTAAGGTTTAAAAATAAGAATTTCTAATTGGCTGAAGGTCTTGTGAGAGCGACACAATGATACCAGCAAATGTCAGCACAGTACTGTGAACTTCAGACACATCACAATGATAATAGCAGGTGTCCCATGATGTCAAGCAACTGTAACAGTCTCGGAGAGGAATGGCGGTTGTGTATTTTAGTTTACATTAAAGGAAATAAAATAAGAATGTGCTCGATACAAGCGAAGTGTTGTGCACAGCTCCGGTTGGAAGCAGGTTGACGAGGAACTGTGTAGAATGAGGCAGGACTTTGTCAACAACGAATACGACAAGGGTTATGTGGAAGAGATCATTAAAAGAAAGGTGATAAAGTGGCCAGCATCTCTGAACGTGTCCCACCAATAAAGCTTTAACAAAGGAACTTCTTTTAAACGCCCCACAAGACAGAAGGAAGTCTTCAAAGACATTATTGATAGAAACGTGATGAGTACCCACACTGATACAGCTCACCATATACTCTAAGAGTCGGGGTATCGCCAACATGCTCGTTAAGAACTCTCCCGACACTAAGCCGACAGACTACTTTCGTTGCGTCTAATTCCTGTAGGTCACTGTGACAGGGGTGGGGACGGGTGGTGGGATGATGGGTCTGGAGATGGGACCTGGGCTGGGACACGTGGGCCTGGAAGTGTTGTTAGCGTGTGGGGGGGGGGGGGGGAGGGCTGCAACAGGGTATAAAAGGCAGAGGAGATACCAGCTTCACCACACAGACAAGATGAACTTCAAGCTGTTTGGTCTTCTGCTACTGGTGGTCGCTGCCGGTGAGAACCTCCAGTGGTTACTTGTAAATGTGGGAAGCATTTTCCATTATTGTTACTTTTATTTGATAGTAGATTGAATGCTAGTGGCCATACCGACTGACGGCTGGTATTCTGTACTTCAAGATTACATCAGTATTTTGTTCCTCAGATCTTCATTTATTTGTTTGTCTTTATTAGAGTTTACCAATCTTTATGAAGCAGAGTTTTAGTTGCATCTTAAAGTAATACAGCATTATATTGTAGGCGGTTCCTTTGCTGCGGACACTTACCACAGCTGAGATTAATCACGAGCGCTATGTCATGGGTTCGTATCCTGGCCGGGGAGGATTTACTGGGCGCAAATCCTTAACTGTAGCCTCTGTTTAACTCAACAGTAAAATGTGTACTTGGTTGTAACAATGATTCTTCGCGGCGGGGATCGTATTCCAGGGACCTGCCCGAAACGCTACGCGTACTAGTGGCTCTACAAGAATGTAACAACTCTTGTATATATCTCAAAAAAAAAAAAAAAAAAAATTAGAGTGGTTGAGTGTCCTTTTCGTCGTCCACAATATTTGCAATTTTGTTTTTTCTGTTGTGACCACAATCTTCCCAGCATAAAGATAGTTTAGTCACATTCTATGGTGTGTGTCTTGACCCGCTCCTGGTGATGTCTGCTGAAGGTGGATGGCCTGTACCCGGCAACATGGGTAGTATGTGACTATGTTGAAAGGTATGTTGTGTGTCACTGCGTATGAGGCTTCAGGTTTGAGGTGCGGTGTGAGGTACATATATTTCCTTGATGCTGGTAGGTTCAGTCGCAGCTCCACACCAAGGAACACCCTCAAGGGTGGTGACATTTCTCAATGTTGCAAGCCTAGGGTGTATGAGGCTGTTTAGTCATCCACATTTCATTGTTGTCTAGTGATTTTGGGTAATTAATATCCCAGGTAAATTTCGTTTGGATGCTGAATCTGCTATGTATACTTTTAAGGGTTGTTTGGTCTTTCTTACAGGTGTTAATGCTGGGGGAAGTATCATTTAGTATTTATTTATTTATTTATTTATGAGAAGGTACATTGAGTTTATTAGAGTACAGAGACGAACTTTTACATTCTTGTAAAGCCACTAGCGCGCATAGCGCTTCAGGCAGATCCTTATCTAACATATAATTTTAAGAAGGTAATTTCTAGCAAAATTAAAAATGTTTACAGGTACATTGTAAGAAAGTATAATATTTAGGATGGATCTGTTTGCCTGGGTGTAGAAATTAATAAATATATATATTGTTTGACGCCCATCTTGTGTTCGGACATAAATACCATGAACTAAATCGGTTGACTGCGTTTTCCTTTCATTTATCGTAAATTTGTCAATTCAAATTCCTAGATATAAATAGTTTGCTAGCCAGCCAACTTCTACATTTTGAGTGACAAGTGTTCTTTGAGGGTCGAACCTTGTTCAGTGGAGGACCTTGTTCAGTGGAGGACTTTGTTCAGTGGAGGCCCCTGTTCAGTGGAGGACCTTGTTCAGTGGGGGACCTTGTTCAGTGGAGGACCTTGTTCAGTGGGGGACCTTTGCCCTGTGGGAGGACCTTGCTCAGTGGAGGACCTTGCTCAGTGGAGGACCTTGCTCAGTGGAGGACCTTGTTCAGTGGAGGACCTTGCTCAGTGGGAGGACCTTGTTCAGTGGAGGACCTTGCTCAGTGGGAGGACCTTGCTCAGTGGAGGACCTTGCTCAGTGGAGGACCTTGTTCAGTGGAGGACCTTGCTCAGTGGGAGGACCTTGCTCAGTGGGAGGACCTTGTTCAGTGGAGGACCTTGCTCAGTGGAGGACCTTGTTCAGTGGAGGACCTTGCTCAGTGGGAGGACCTTGTTCAGTGGGAGGACCTTGCTCAGTGGGAGGACCTTGTTCAGTGGAGGACCTTGTTCAGTGGAGGACCTTGTTCAGTGGAGGACCTTGTTCAGTGGAGGACCTTGTTCAGTGGAGGACCTTGTTCAGTGGAGGACCTTGTTCAGTGGAGGACCTTGTTCAGTGGAGGACCTTGTTCAGTGGAGGACCTTGCTCAGTGGAGGACCTTGCTCAGTGGAGGACCTTGTTCAGTGGAGGACCTTGTTCAGTGGAGGACCTTGTTCAGTGGAGGACCTTGTTCAGTGGAGGACCTTGTTCAGTGGAGGACCTTGTTCAGTGGGGGACCTTGTTCAGTGGGGGACCTTGTTCAGTGGAGGACCTTGTTCAGTGGAGGACCTTGTTCAGTGGAGGACCTTGCTCAGTGGGAGGACCTTGTTCAGTGGGGGACCTTGTTCAGTGGGGGACCTTGTTCAGTGGAGGACCTTGCTCAGTGGGAGGACCTTGTTCAGTGGAGGACCTTGCTCAGTGGGAGGACCTTGCTCAGTGGAGGACCTTGCTCAGTGGGAGGACCTTGCTCAGTGGAGGACCTTGATCAGTGGGAGGACCTTGTTCAGTGGGGGACCTTGTTCAGTGGGGGACCTTGTTCAGTGGGGGACCTTGTTCAGTGGGGGACCTTGTTCAGTGGAGGACCTTGCTCAGTGGAGGACCTTGCTCAGTGGAGGACCTTGCTCAGTGGGAGGAAATTGCTCAGTGGACTTAAAAATTTGTTGAGGATATTTGTAGCCTAATTTCTAGCCACTTATATATTGTGGTGTTGATGGGGTGATTGTGGTTCTCGTAGTGAAGACGAGGTCATTGGCGTAGCTAATGACCTCGTGTGGCTGTAGTTTTACATTAACAACCTTTCCCATCAAGATTAGGAACACGGATGGGCTGCATACTTCTCAACCTTGCGGTGTACCATTCTCTAGGGTCTTGTACTAGGGTCTTGTACACTGTTAGGTAGTAATGAACCCAGCTGAGTAAGTTGCCTCTCACCCACTTTTTTAAACTAATGCATGATGGGTTCTTAATACAAATGTTTTTTTTTTCTAACTAAGAAAAGTTGTTTAGTATTTGAATATCCAAAGACGTTAGTCAATTCAGCTCCTGCGAATATGTCGAGATGAAAAAGTCGAATTTCTCGGTGCTCAATAACACTACAAACATCTGTTACGTCTTCTCCAGATATTTACCATTCAGACTGTAGCACAGTGGTCTACAGCTTCGACTCACAACCGAGGATGCCGGGTTAAATCCTCGGTAGGGTTGAAATGATGGGCACGTTTCCTTTCACCTAATGCCTTTATTCACCTAGTAGGGAGGGTACCAGGGAGTTAAGCAATTGTTTTGGATTGCATCCTGGGGAAGGTCAGTAGTTAGCTTAGAGAGGGGGGGGAGGAGACCCTCGATAAGCCGAAGTACAGGCTTCTTGTCCCCGACAATGGGAATTATACCAATGGGTGAACAGTATAGTCACAAGACCCCATAAGAATTGACATGATATTGCAGTTGTTAACACATCAACACCCAGAAAGTTGATTTATGTTAGTAACAATAAAGTGTCCAATAAAGTTACCAGAATTTACCGCAATTTACCTGAGGGCCACTAACACTTTAGTTGCCTCGATGAGGACAGGAAGCCGGTGGCTTGTCAAAGATTCCCTCCTTTTTCCCTGGTTATCTTTTCCAGTTGTATTTTAAAATTGAACAGAGTTTTGGCATTTACGGCTTCGGCAGGTAGGCGGTTCCATGGGTTTATAACCCTGTGAGTGAAAAGCAACTCCTGTTCTCAGTCCTACAGTGTGGCTTGTTGAGCTTTGAACCGTTGCTCGTTGTTCATGTTACATCTGACCTTTAGAAGAAATTGTCCGGATCAACATCCTCCAAAATGTTCAGTATTTTAATAATTTCAATGAGATCCGCCCTGTCATGCCTGGTTTGTAGTGATGTTAGTCCTGTGGCCTTCAACCATTCCTGATACATGAATTGACTTACTTCTGGAATGATTTGTGTTGCACTTCCTCCAGAGCTGTCTTTCTGAAGATGAGGTCTCCATGCTTGGATATAGTAATCTAAATGGGGCGCACCAGAGATTTATACAATTGAATATCTACCTTCTTTTCCTTAAAGTCAAAGGTACGCTTGATTATTCCCAGGGTTTGGTTAGTTTTTTTGACTTGTGCAGCTTTCAGTGAATAGTAGATTTTGACTCCAAGGTCCTCTCAAATGCTCACTGAAATGGCCAAATATGTTACATAATACTACAAATATCCCCAAAACTCGGAAATACTTCTTATAAGTTCTTTTCAGCTACAATTTAGCACAGTGAATAGAAGCGAAAGGAGACTTTCAGTGAAGTAACTACAAACCAATACTAATTGTAATAGGCTAATGTAAACAGGCAATATTTTTGTTTGAATGTATTACGAAAAACTTTTACTTCTTATAAATTTATTACAATTAATATAATAATATATTAAATGGGTCTTTAAGTTCACGATTGTTATGAATCACTCTACTGAACTTAACTGTCACTGTGTGTAAATGGTTGATGTATCACAGTTTGTTTCTGATGAGTCGACTTAATGAACAGCGGAAAGTTTATATATGCAGGTGAGGATATATATATATATAATATATATATTATTAAATATGACCGAAAAAGTAAGATTATTAATTCTAACACGAATTTTCTCGATCTTTCTTACGTTTCTTTTCACTGTTGATGGTAATTCAAAAATCAATTCTCCAAAATTCATTTTTATTTCTAGTCTGACGCGACACTTGAGCGCGTTTCGTAAAACTTATTACATTTTCAAAGACTTTAGTTTACACACACACACACACAACTTTAACTGAATAGAGCTTAAACATCTTCG